TATATATTCACTCTTTCTTGTAGGCAGCTCTCGTTTTAGCCAATGACAAGATAATGATTGAAGAGGACGGTTATCGATACACAACGATAATGCCAAAGCAAAGAAATGAATATGTATAAAATGTTGGAGTTTTTGATTATTCTGCTAGGATCCCAAAATAGAGAAGTTTTTCACTGTGGTTTGGGTACAGCAACGGGTTGATAATGTCAGCATTAGGTGTCAGCATGTATCACACACACACACATACGTATATATAAAATATATACTAATGTCTGCTGCATTTGCACTGTATTATTATTGCTATTTTTGTTATTATATTATTATTATTATTATTATTAATAATAATAATAATAATAATAATAATAATAATAATAGTAATGCAATCTAACTGCACAATAAGACTAAGTTACTCCGTGGAAGCTGAAGCTATTCAGCACCTTGTTCCCCTGTGTCCAGAGGGATGCAGCTCTCCCAGTGCTCCTGCACAGCCAGCCCAGCTCTGGGACTGCAGAGAGAGGCTGGGTACATCCTCTCTGTCACAACTGTTTAATTTGGAGACAGATTTATCTTCTTCTCCCCAGTCAAGACAATTGGTTTGCAATTTCTGAGGAAAACAAGACAACACAATGGTTTTTTGAAAGAGGAAACATTCTACAGAGGACCATTTCTTTTCCTTGAATATCAGCTACATTTGTGCAATTGGTGTGGCAGGCATTACAGTGGTGTAATTATCCAGTTACGGACATTGTTCAGCAGGACATAAACACAGCTGAGTGGTCTTGGTCCTTCCAAGATCCCATCCACAGAACAGCCACTGGGCAGCACAACTGGTGGCACAAGGAACTGGTGCTTTTGGTGTGCTGGCATGGTGGTGGCCGTGATGTGGACGCTGACCCTGCCACTGCCACTTGGCACAAGGCTACACAGGAACCATGAGACATCCCACAGGGCACTGGCATGGTGGCAGTGGTGTTTCAGGTGAAAAATAACTTCTGAGAGTGCCTTTCAGCTGCTCTGGAGGTAACTCCAAATGATTCATGCTACCACACAAGAAATCCAGAGGGACCATGCTTCATCAACCAGGAGAAGCCAACTTATTGAGGAAGGCATATAGTTTTCATCAAGCCACTGAGCCTGTCCATTGCATTTCATGACACCATGGCAACTCCATAAAGAAAGCTCCCACAGAGCAAGGACTCTCATCTCTCCAGCTCCAGTCAGGCAGCTGCAGGTGCAGCCCCTCAGCCCTCATCCTGCAGCCAGGCAGCACTGAGGCATATGCTCAAGCTCCCCCCTGTTCCATCGTGCATCCCACCTGCTGCTGATCTGTTCCTGCCCCAGTATCAGGTAAGAGTGTGGCACTGTGCTCCAAGCAAGGTTATTGCTTTAGGAGAGAAGATCACTAAAGGGACAAGAAATGGCTGGTGGAAAAGGCTGTGGAGAGGGTGATGGGGTTGAGTGAGATGCAAACTGCTGTGTTTTGCTAAGGAGGGGTTTTGGATGAACAGGGGTGAAAGTGGGGAATGCTGGCAGGCACAGCTGATGGCAGGAGCCTGCAGTGCACTGGAGGCTTTGTGGAGGGAAGCTGGGCAAGGATTTCTACTTGAGAGATGAATGAAAGGTCTTCTAGTGATAGAATAAAAGAGATTGATTTAATTTTTCAGTTTAATTATTTATAGTGTGTTTGTAAGTACCCTGATGGGGTATGTGTTGCTTAAACAATGAAAGATATAAGTGGAATTTATTGGATAGATGAAATTGGAAAAGTCCCTTTCTGAAACCCGGCTTAATAGTGCAAAGAGGCTTCCCATAGTGCAGGGCTTCCCTATGGTTGTCTCCCAGGGAAGCCAGATGACCTTCTGGATGGTTTTGGTTTTTGTTTTTTGCTTTTTAATCCAAAAGTCTTCTGGGCTCACTTTTGCAAGCAGTGGGGTTTGTATTAGTGATCTGTGGTGGACAAAGGAAAAGTTCTTTAAAATCTGTTCGTGCACACTTGCCCAAACTCAGTGCCTGGCACACCAGGCGTGACCACGATGGGAGAGCTGAAATCACATCCCCAAGGAGTCTAACAGTCCGTCCAGCTCCTGAATTCTTACTTGGTTTTACTTGCCAAAAATGTGTTGCTGTTACAAACAACAGCAGCGTTAACGATGAAGTGAGGAAGCAGCCAAGGAGACTATCAAAACACTGCATCCCTCACAAAACACTTTCCCAGGGCTACAAAAGCAAGGGGAGATGAAAGCGGAGCGGGAAGGCTCCTGTGGGCAAAGGCGGGAGGAGCTCCTGCTGCGGGGCAAGGCTCATGTCTGGGGTGAAAAAACCCCTTTTGGAGGACAGTGTGTTTTTGTTAGCAGAGACCCACCCAAACTCCATTTGCTCTTGGTTTGCATCACAGCCAACAAAACCTTTGCAGAGGAGAGAAAGCAGGCAGTGGGAAAGGACACTGATGCTATCTACTGCCTTGGATAAAAAACAAGCATTTTGGTTCATTTGTTGTGTTGGGAACTCAAATAAGCATTGGATCTCATTGCAAGCTCTTGGCTTTTGTTGTGGGCTTTGGAGAGAGCCTGAGGCTCATCCCTGAGCTGTGCCAGGGTTGTGTCTCTGGGCTGCAGGGGTTCAAACTCCCACTCACTTTGGTGGGATTGCCATGGAGCAACACTGCAAACTCCAGGGAAAGACCATGATGTGCTTCCACCTCTCATGACAAAAATCCAGAGCTTTGAAAAGCTGATCTGGGTCACTTTGCTGTGCTGGCTGTTCCTGTCTCCTGTCAAAGCCCTTTGCCATTTGCTCAGGTTTCCTTATCCAAGCCACAGACAAAAGCTGGATACCAGACTGACACAGCATGAAAAGTCCTCTGAGCAGAGAGAGCAGGAACATCACATCATCGTGTTAGCACTGATCTGGAAAGGACAAATGCCAGCAGTACTGACTCCATGTAGAAACTGCAGCTTGAGCCATATGCTCAGCTGGGTTCCTACAGAGGAGATAGAATTCACCATGTTTTCACTAAAATACATAATTTCTCTCTCCCTGCACATTTGTTTATTTTTTTTTTTTTTTTTTTTTTTTTGTTTGGAAATTCAAAGACTGACCCTGTATGAATGGAAGCCAATGAAATCAACTCCAGAACTAATTGAGGAATTTTTTAACTGTTAGCCATGTCCACAAAAGAAGCTGGCCCTGGTACTGCCCAAGCCACTCACACCCTTCCTGCTGGAACTGAGTTTCCCACAAACTCTCGCTCCAGTGCTGTGGCTTGGCCACTCTCTCAGCCTGGGACACATGCTGCAAAACTCTCAAATGTCTCAAAAATATTGCCCACAGGCCCCATCCTTGTAGAAGCCATTGGCAGCTCGTCAGGATAATCCTGCTTGGGCTACTGGCTCCCAGTACGAGGTTTGGTCTGATATGTGGGCAATGAGGGACAGTGCACCCCATGAGCTGTGTGACACCTGTGGTAAATGGTTTTTAGTTGGTGGGGAAGGTGCTACCTCCTTGTAGCTTGTGGTGCTGAGTAGGTGTCCACCCATGAATGGAGAGGATTCAGGACACGACACATTACTCAAAATCCCACGCAAAACTCACCTGACAGGATGGATGCGACGGCAGCGATGATGAAGGACACGATGACCCCGGGCCCCGCCATCTCCTTGGCCACCAGGCCGGACACCACGTACATGCCGGTGCCCACGCAGCTCCCAACGCCCAGGGAGATGAGGTCAAGGGTGGTGAGGACCTTGGCCAGCCGGGCGCCCTGGGCGGCCCCAGCCCCGGTGCCCTCCAGCATGGACTCCACGGGCTTGGTGCGCAGGACACGGGTGCGCAGGGCATGGCCTGCGGCCCCCCAGGGCACCCGCCGCGGGTCCAGCCGAGACAAGAAGCCACTCATGGTGCTGGGCTGGGCAAAGGTGGGTCACAGACAGCGTCAGCAGCACCCACTCAGGGCTGTGGATGCGTCTCCATGCTCTGGCAGCCCTGCAAGAGAGGGGAACAGAGTTTTTGACTGAAACAGCAATAAAAGAAGAGTCAAAAGGGCCCCCTAAGTTGGTTTTTGCTGGTCTCTGGTGCTGGCAGAGCTTTGTTTTGACCAATGCTGCTGCTGCTGCTGTGGAGAAATCTCCTTTCTCCACCCTCAGTTTGGTACTACAGTGATGCATTGCCCTCCTTTGTGTTCACATGGGTTTAGCCTCAGTCATTACTACAGCACCACAAACAGCAGGAACCTGATTTCCTCCAACCTGATTCTCATTGTGTGGCTCAATTTCTACCAAAAGTAATGATGGCTACACATAACTGTGAGGTGCTGAGCCCTGGTGGGAACAGAGTGTGACTCCAAGCCTGGCAGCACTGCAGTTCCAGCAGCAGGGATGCTCCTGGTGGCACCGTGTGCCAGCCCACCAGCAGCATGGCAGACTGCAGGGACATCCTGTGGGACAGGCTGAGAGAGTACCTAAAGGGAGCTCCAAGAGAGCGGGAGAATAACTTGGGCAAGGAGAAGAGAGAAAGGCTTCAAAATGAAAGAGGGAATATTTGGATTAGATATGAGAAGGAAATTCCTCCCTGTGAGGGTGGTGAGGCCCTGGCACAGGGTGCTGTGAATGCCCCATCCCTGGCAGTGTTCAAGGCCAGGCTGGATGTGGCTTGGAGCAGCCTGGTCTAGTGGATGCATCCCTGCACATGGCAGGGGGGCTGGAACGAGGATCTTGAATGGTCCTTCCAACTCCAACCATTCTGGGCTTCTGTGACCCCTCTGCTCTACCTGTACTGCAAAAAAAGGGGGTCTGGGACTGTAGCTTTGCTCTTTTATCCAGCACATTGAGACCACTGCCTGCCTGTGCCAGGCTGGAGCTGACTCTGGGGCTGGATCACCACAAACTGGTCCTTACAAGGACAGGTGATTTTTTAATTTTTTAAATTTTTTTGTTTATTTTTTTTATTTTTATTTTTTTATTTTGGTGCTACAAAAGTTCACTCTTACAGCTCTCTGGCTATACTGCTTGTTTGGAGGTTTTGAGTGGTACCATCATCCTGGTAAAATCTGAGGGGGAAAATTCTAAAAGGTGAAGCTAATTCAGGTTCCCATGAATCATAAGTTTAAAAAGATTCCTTGGCGTGGTTTCTTCATTCATTATTGTAGTTATTTAAATACTGTGTAAGGAATATTTTTTTTAATTTGAAAGATGTGGTTTTGCTCGTGTAACTGCAATATATTTTGGGGTCTGGCTTAACTCTCCCTGTAGTTAAGGGAAACTGGGAGAGAAGTTCAGCAGGAGCAGTGTGGGCTCCACTGGCCACTGGAAAGTGAGTGACCAACAGCACGGCCAGCTACAGCCATTTTTAATACTTTTAAATTATCTTGCCTGAACCCATCTGCCCTAAGATTCTCTCAAAAGTCATGGCCTTATCTTGGTTTTCTCTTTCTCTGTGTTTTTTCCATCCCTAGTCATCATTATTTTCAAGAACAATTCAGAAACTGCCATTCCCCCCTCCCTCCCTTTCTGCTGTTCCTCAGCAAACTGTGTAGTTCTCATAGTACCAGCAGCAGTGACTTCCAAGTGACACGTGGTAACTTCTTGACTTTGAGCAAACCAAGAAGAATTGTACAAGCCGCAAGCTAATACAAGGGTGCAGGCAAAATAGTTTATTAAATATGAATTTTTACCTGGCAGCTTCTATCCCATCAATACAGAAATATTCTTTTATTTTAATTTCCTTGAAGACAAAACAATTATTTTTTCCATCTTTACATCCCAAACAAATTACATTGTGTCCACAAGGCAGCCTCATGTTGCTGAAGTTTATTAAATGAAACACAGCATTCATTTCATGTTTTGGTCTTTCACTGATTCAAATTGTGCTGAATTTTACCTGGAGCAACCACAGGCTGAAAGGCTGCATGTTCTAGCTAGGAATACTAATGAGAAATTTTTACTGCTCCTGAGCAAATGTGGATCTTGGGTTGAGAATAAAACCTGGGTTTGGCTTTTGGATTGCTCAAGGAGTCAGCTGGTTGTGGGATGGGCTGGCTCACAGGTAAGGTTTTACTTTCTGGTTTAAAGGAAGGTTTGTGTTGGAAGAGGGCATCTGAGCCAGAGTTCAGTGGGTCTGCACCAGCCAGGATGAAACAGACCTGTTCTCATAGAATCATGTCTTCAGAAGAGGTAGGATGTTATGGGATGAAGGCACCAAAGCTTCAGGCTGGTCCTTGGTGCCATCACCAGGTCATGCTCTGGCATAGGAAGATCTGTCCTGTGTTTTAAGGGGGATTGGGACCCCAGTTTTTCATCATCATGTCTCGGGATGTCTGATGAAGGCTTTGGGAAGGGTGGCATATGCTCCTTACTGGAGGAATTCACATCCACACTGGAAAAATTAATGTGTTCCTCAAACTGATGTGGACAGCCCAGTTCACTCTCAAGCCACATCATGGTATAGAAATTACTTTCTCTCCAGCATTCCAAAGAACCCCAAGAGAAGACATGGCTGTCTTGTCCTGGAATAATCTTAACTGCTAAATTGGTAGATAAAGTCCTTAAATATTTTAAATGGTTTAAATTTAAAGCAGGAACTGGCTGGTGGATTAGTGATGCACCCAGATTTAGGCTGCTGAGTTGTTCCAGCTGCCTGGGGCTGGACTATAACCAGGTCCTCCAGTATGGTAGCCCAACAGAGCCCTGCAATCCATGGGGTTTGGTCTTCTCCTATAAGTCATCAAGGAATAAAAACCCTTTCAAAACCTCTGAAATGAAATAACTCTATAATTGCTGCTACACTCAATTAAAGCAGTCATTCAAAACTACTCCAGATGTTTAAGTGAGATCAGCATATTGCTGCTCTGTAGCTTGGAAAACATTTCACTCCCTTTGAAATCATCATAAAATATCTCATGGATGGCACCCAGCTCTATGGGGCAGAGGCACCTCAGTTCTGCTCTGCTCCACTAACCCTGCCTGTTAAGCAGACAGTGGGAAGCAAAAGGAATTTTTACTTGTTTTGTTTTTTAATCTTCTCACCATAAACCCAGGAAGATGAAGGGAGCTGTGGTTCAGAGGGGACAAGCTGCAGCTGGGTTTTGGAGCTGCTCAGCTCTCCACTGTCAGGCTGTTGGGGTCGGTTTCCTCTCTGGCTGGCACTTGCTGCCGCCACCATGTGCTTGTCAGCACCACTGTTTGTACCAAAACACTCCTCTTCATCAGGGTAAATTGACTAAAACTGCAGTCGAGCCAGTAGGAGAGGCATAGGTGTTTACAGGCACGGATCTTCCTCAGTGTCTGGGTTGATACCGAATTATTCCTCATGTAAAACTCCTTCCGCTGAGGAGATGCAGCACAGTGCCCCCCCAGCACCTCCCATCCTCATCACCCCCATAGATCCAGCTTCTCCAGAAAATTGTCCCCAAACACCTGTGCCTTGGGGTGGCTCTTAATTTTCTGTTAATGACTCCCCTCTGTCCAGAAGTCTGTAGGGGTATCCATGAGCAAAGCTCTCTATTAAAATCTGCTGGGAATGCAACAAGGAGCAGAATATCGATGGTGGTAAACGGAACAAAGAGAGCTCCTGTTGTTGTATTGATGGAAAGCCAGGCAGGGGCACTCATTAAGAGGAAAAGGATGGGTTTTCCATGGCTCACAGAATAATTACTGCAGAGCAAAGATTGCTGATGCCTCCAGCATCTGGATCAGCATGATCTGACATGCAGGATACAAGTACCCAGTTTGCTGCAAGGGTTTTTAGGGGGAAAGTCCCTTTCTCCTCGCCCAGGGGAGCTATGCTTCAGGAATCTGGGATTGAAGCCAGTTCCTATCAACACCCAAGGCAGCGCCGGCTGTGGACCCCAGGAATATTAATTCTGGTGTTAATGGTGCAGGAGCATCAGCCCTCAGACCCACTCCGTGCTGCAGTAGGGACTGTGCACCCTGGGCAAACAGAGCCACAAAGGCTCAAAGGGATGCCGGAGATTGCTCGAGATGATGGAAAAGGCAGCTCCTGGCAGCAAACCCCGCTGCAATCCCAGAAAAAGACCGAGAGAAAGAGGAACAAAGGTGCTAGGCTGACCTCCCTGCTGCCCCTTCCCTTTCCCCTTTAACTGGAGCTCGGTGGCGGTGGGGCGGGTTTGTCTGGAGAGGCTCAGGGCTTGAATTGCATCCCAGCTCCTCCAGCAGGGAGAGCTGACGTCAGGCGGGATGCAGGAGCCGGGCAGCAGCTCCGAGCGCAGGGATGCCTTCTGCCGGGGCTGCTCGCCGCCGAAATGTTTTCATTACGAGTGCGATTTGATTTGGAGCTTTATGTGCTTGTTTTTACAGTGTCGATCCCCAGCTGGGCTGCCTCTGTAAAAGCTGGCTCTGTCTCCATCATCAGCCCTCCTTAAAGCGATTTAAAAGCCAGGCACAGAGCCGAGAGCGAGGGCTGGTCCCTGCCGATCCCGGCGCCGCTCACGTGGGTCCAGCTTCAGCAGTCTGGCCTTGTGCCTTTGCTGGTAATTTTGGGCTTTTCTTATTTTTAATCTTTCCATTTTTACCTCTGCTTGAGCTGTTCAAATGGAGCTGTGGTTAATTTAAACTACAGCAGTCGCTAAATTAAACCACTGATAACACTTCAGGTTTAAGACCAACTTTCTCTGTGCACCACCTGAAGAAATGGGATATTTTCTCACTGTCTTCATGGCAAAATGGAAGTGAAGAGGTTCAACAGCACTTTTCTATGGTAGTTCCACCAATGTTATGCTGGGTGCTTTGGCAGCGTTAGCACTGCTGTAAGATGCCTAAACATCATTACCTTCTTTTGACAAATAAGCAAAATAAAAGAGGAAATGTTTAATTTGACCAAAGACATAAGGCAAGGGTGCCACACACCCAGAAGCAGCCTCCAGGAATTCCCAAACTCTGTGTT